CTTGAATAGGAAGTCATATACTGGCAATCTATATGTGACCTTAAAATTGACCTTTGACCTACTTTTCACCATGAATTGAACTTTGCAAATTTTGCTTTCCTTTTATCTCCAAAACTGGCAGAGATAGGTCCGTAGTTACTATTGAACTTGAATAGGAAGTCATATACTGGCAATCTATATGTGACCTTAAAATTGACCTTTGACCTACTTTTCACCATGAATTGAACTTTGCAAATTTTGCTTTCCTTTTATCTCCAAAACTGGCAGAGATAGGTCCGTAGTTACTATTGAACTTGAATAGGAAGTCATATACTGGCAATCTATATGTGACCTTAAAATTGACCTTTGACCTACTTTTCACCATGAATTGAACTTTGCAAATTTTGCTTTCCTTTTATCTCCAAAACTGGCAGAGATAGGTCCGTAGTTACTATTGAACTTGAATAGGAAGTCATATACTGGCAATCTATATGTGACCTTAAAATTGACCTTTGACCTACTTTTCACCATGAATTGAACTTTGCAAATTTTGCTTTCCTTTTATCTCCAAAACTGGCAGAGATAGGTCCGTAGTTACTATTGAACTTGAATAGGAAGTCATATACTGGCAATCTATATGTGACCTTAAAATTGACCTTTGACCTACTTTTCACCATGAATTGAACTTTGCAAATTTTGCTTTCCTTTTATCTCCAAAACTGGCAGAGATAGGTCCGTAGTTACTATTGAACTTGAATAGGAAGTCATATACTGGCAATCTATATGTGACCTTAAAATTGACCTTTGACCTACTTTTCACCATGAATTGAACTTTGCAAATTTTGCTTTCCTTTTATCTCCAAAACTGGCAGAGATAGGTCCGTAGTTACTATTGAACTTGAATAGGAAGTCATATACTGGCAATCTATATGTGACCTTAAAATTGACCTTTGACCTACTTTTCACCATGAATTGAACTTTGCAAATTTTGCTTTCCTTTTATCTCCAAAACTGGCAGAGATAGGTCCATAGTTACTATTGAACTTGAATAGGAAGTCATATACTGGCAATCTAAATGTGACCTTAAAATTGACCTTTGACCTACTTTTCACCATGAACTGAACTTTGCAAATTTTGCTTTTCTTTTGTCTCCAAAACTGGCAGAGATAGGTCCATAGTTACTCTTGAACTTGAATAGGAAGTCATATACTGGCAATTTACTGTGACCTTGAAATTGACCCTTGACCTATCTTACATCTTACGAAGAACTTAAATTTGATTGTACCATATATATTTTTTGCAAAAGTTTAAAAATTCTTGTTGATTGCATTTTTACAGCTTGTCAAGCACAAAACTGGTGGCTCTATACGAATGCGCTTGCTCCAGCTGGTGGTACAATATTCGGAGGCGGTATCGCCTCTCTGATCCTCTAGTTATCAGTATTTTTGAAAGAAACCTACAGTTTTATCAGGTAATGGAGTAATTTTATATTCTTGCAAATTTGCAGCAAATTTAGGGAACATTTTCAAGAACATAAAATTCCTTCTTGATAATTTGTAGCATATAAACAGCAAGTTGACGAGTGTTTATGTAAGCCCTGATAATAAGCAGCAATATAATTTTCTGGGTGGAGAGCAACTATTATCCAGACAACTTCAAATATGTCCTATATGTTTGCAAACAAAAATTTTGGACCAAAAAACTTAGGTACCAGTGCACATTAATTGGGTCCAGGGGAGGTTTCTAGCTCACATCAAAACCACAGCTAGAATATGACGACTCCCATTTACAACATATCAAGTCACATAATCATCAAAACTAGGAAATTATTTTTTAGTCACTGTATGATTATAAATGGGCTCTATGGAGTTAAAGTGGGTCATTCAGGACACTTGTCAGTTGTTATACTGTTTTGCAGTTTCACTTGGATGTGAGGATTTTTGGAATGTTATCTACTCCAGTGATCTTGTCCATTATTAATGCAAAGTCATGTTCTTACTTATGTGTAGATGCATTTGTCGTGAATTAGCATTGAATGGACAGAATTTTGTGCAATGCAGTAATATAAGCTGCTCATGAGGAAGAGTTCAGGTTTATGTTTAAAAACTTTTTTAAAATTTTGATTTCACTTATTTTAGACTGGCTGTCACACTGCATGCTGGGATTAACAATATTTTTGCCAGCAATTGAAGAACTGTTTAATGAGCTCCTGACCACTGAGTTTTCTGGATAAATGATAAACAAGGACATGACAAGAATAGTCTAGGAGAGGAAACAATAGACAGACAGCTCCTTCTTTCACTTTGGTATCTGCAGAAAACTTCAGAATGTCTTGTCCAAACTTTTTCAAGCAGCTATGGTGGTTCCGTAGTTCTTTGTTCCTGTTCCTCACTCCAATCATGCTCCTACCACTTCCCATTGTGGTAGCCATACAATATCCAGAGGTACGATTATTTTAGGAGGATGTCTGTTTCAACTCAGAACACAAAATGATTTTTTATTCATGCCATCTTTTTCATTACAATTGTTCTTGTGTCTCCTACAGTATATTTCTTTAAGTAATATATCTTATAAAAGATAAATTTCCTGTTTTTTTCAATCTTTTTTCTGTAAATCCTTATTTACAAAGAGATGGCGTGAAGCCAACTGTGCATATGCGTTGCTGATAATGGCGGTGTACTGGGTGACAGAAGTGATCCCATTGGCTGTCACTGCTCTTCTCCCAGTGATCCTGATGCCATTGCTAGGTGTGATGAAGTCTGAGCCACTCTGCAAAAATTATTCAAAGGTATGTGTCGTGGAATAGAGTTTGCAGCAAAAAAAAACAAAAAGAACAAGGTACTACATAAATGTATATACTCTGGATTCTCTGGTGGATGCTGTGTGAATTTTTCTGGGATTTTACTGGTTCAGGAATGACAAACTTTGACAACCAACATAGATTTATGCCAATATTGTGTCATGCATACTATTTTTGGACACATTTTGATAATAATGTCACATTATATCACACTAGGACACCATCATGTTATTTGTTGGAGGTGTTATAGTTGCAATAGCAGTTGAAAAATGGAAACTCCACAAAAGAATTGCTCTTCGAGTGTTGATGATGGTGGGAACTTCACCAAGATGGTAAGCAAGTTTTCAGTGCCTTAATTTTTTTATCCATGAAATATTTATCCATAAATTTTAAGTTATATATAAGGTCTTTACATAATTTTTCTTTAATGTTTATTTTCAATATAGGTTGATGTTGGGTTTTATGCTTCCAACTTGGTTCATGTCCATGTGGCTCAGTAACACAGCCACCACTGCCATGATGGTGCCCATTGTACAGGCAGTTCTAGATCAACTGAAAGAACATTCCTATGGAAGAATAGAAATTGCAGAGGAAAATGGTAGCAGCAGTAACTCTGCCATGGATAAAGATGATGTTGTAGAAGAAAAGACTGGAAAGAAAGTGTATCTTAATTTGCATATCTTTCTAAAACACCATACAGATACTGGATTAATTGGTGCAATGTGTAATCTTTATCTGTATTCTCTTGTTGACAAATGGAGTGTCACTCTCTCAACCAGCTCATTCTTTCTCTTTAATTCTTTCTCTTTTTCTTTCTCTCAGCAGACTTTGAGACTTGAATGTATTGTCACATACTTAACCAGTAGAAGGCTTTATTTAAAGTGTATGACATTGTTTTAGCAGTATTAGTTCATGGATTCATTTACATAATTTGTATAAAGAGATTGATGAAATGATAAATATTTTACAAAGAGATTGAGTTATGGTGTTAACACTAAAGGTTAAAGATTCAACTGGCACATGCATCGATCACTAAAAACTTTTGCTTTAAACAGAGATAGGGAGGTCGAAGTATTCACCGCTGATGGTTCAGAGGACAGAAAGCAGGACCCTGAAGTAGAGGCAGCATACAAGAAGCTGTGTAAATGTCTGTGTCTGTGCGTGTGTTACTCTGCCACCATGGGGGGTATTGCCACACTCACTGGGACAGGAACAAACCTAGTCATGAAGGGACAAGTGGACATGTAAGTTTTCAGACAACCCCAGTGAAGGATTGTCCTAAAAGTGAATATTTTTTTTATCAAAGCTGTGTCGATTTATAAATTCAATAAGTAGTTTACCCAAAACTAAATAAAATTATATATATACACACACTACATATTGCAATAAACACATTTTTTTCTCAGTCTCTCCAAAACTTCATTTTTTAAAATAAACCTGCCATTTCTTCTCCCTTTGAAATTGTCAGCTTTCCGGTTTTTCCAATTCTCTTTAAAATTGTTCATTTCTTTTGTAATAATTTTGCCAAACCTGCAATTTCCTTTCCTATTGCCAAAGGACATTCAGATAATTTGCTGTTTTCTTAACCAGATTGTTTACAAGGTATGAAGAACAGCCAGGTGTTCCAGGTGTAAACTTTAGCTCTTGGATAGTGTTTAGTTTCCCTGCCTCAGTGCTGGGTCTGCTACTGGCCTGGTGTTGGCTACAACTTATGTTCCTGGGATGTTGCAAGTAAATTAACTCTTATCACTCAGCTCTAACCTGAAAGTTATCTTTTTTATTACTCCGATCTCTCAGCTCTGACCTGAAAGTTACCTGAAAATTTTCCACTTTTTATTGTGAGTTCTTTTTTACTTGTTTCTAATAGAAAGGAATTACTTTTCTTGTGTTAAAGTATAGATATAGATGAAATAGTATTTGATATACTCATACAATTGACATACATTTGAGCAATTGAAAGTTGTAGATAAGACTGGTATCATTATTGTAGGCCAGCAGGTCTAGAAGATAGGGTAAGGGTGAAAAGTATCATCCGGCGGGAATATGCCAAACTTGGACCAATATCGTATGTTTCTTTTTAAATTTTCTGCTTTTTATATTAATTGTATTTAATTACCAGTATTTATTTTCTTTTTTCTTTTTTTTTTTTTTTGTATGTGATTGTATTTATTTGCTGCCTACTGAATGTGAGAAATCTTGCTGAATTTATTTTTGTCAGAAACATTTACCAATAATTTACAAAAGATATTTTAGATAATATTTGCACCTTTTGTCCTCAGACTCAAAAAGACACGATTACATTAATTTTAAGTCATCATTGATTTATGACAAAAAAAATTAAACATGTCTTCTCCCTCCAGGTTTCCAGAAGTGGTGGTTCTGGTTCACTTCTCCCTCCTGGCTCTCCTGTGGCTCCTGAGGCAGCCAGGGTTTATGAAAGGATGGGGGGATTTGTTCACAGAAGGGTATGTTTTTAGTTCTCAGTCATTTTTTTGTCCCAAATATGACATTGTTTTTGTGTGTTAAAGTCTCATCCTGAAGTTTGGTATTGCTTTGTCAGTTTCATTTTGTCATAAAGTACTTTTCATATTTATATCACCATTTTTAATTTTATTTGCCCAATTGAAATATTCTGAAAGATCAGATAGAAGTGGTGCTTAAGAGTTATTTTAAACATTGTGCAGTAACTGTATGTATATGAATTCCAGCTATGTGTCTGGCTCAACTCCTGCCATAGCTATTGCTGTCTTACTGTTTGCGATGCCCAGTAGGAAGCCAACTTTATATACCAAAGATGGTACAGTTTTTAGGATATAATATCAAGTCTTGCGTACATTTTAATTGACAGCCTACATTTTTGTTACATATATTTGGTCATAGGCAGTAAATTTTATACTTAAAAGGTCCTTCCTCCTCACTGTGGCCGTTACCTGTTTGAGTGAGTTTACTGAGCTCAAGTGATTTTGCTTGCATTACTGGATGCTGGTACTATTTTTTCTTGGTGGTATTTTTATTCTTAAAACCCCTAATAAAAATCTAAGACAAAAATCAATCTAAAAAGTTTTGAAAAATCTGGGGTGGCCACAAAATACCATAAAAGTGCTTATTTTATGGATCATGATTTCTGACCAATATCAGTTTGTTAAACGAAGTCATAAGTAATTCAGACATTTTTATTTTCAAGACCTATCTGACCCTGCACCAGCGCCCCCTATACTCACGTGGCCTGCAGTACATGAGAAGTTGCCGTGGAGTGTAGTTCTTCTGCTAGGTGGAGGTTTTGCTCTGGCAGATGCTGCTAAGGTACATTGTGTATATACATCTGATTCATCAATTTGCCAAGTTTTTTGCTGGACAAGAATTGCACAAAATTTATCAGAGAAATATCTATGAATATATAATAAATAGCTCTTTTTTTGGCCATAGTAAGGGGTACATTGTTCATATAATTTTATTTAGATTATGCATGGTTAGAATATTACATGCTTTCCAAAATTCGCTTTTTGAACAAACATTCTTGCAATTTACTTTAATTTTAAAATAAGGATCAGTTGTGCAGTAAAGATACAGGAGGCTTATATTATTTGTTATTATTGTTTTAATTTTGCGTCCATTGCTGTTCTTCCATTGCAGGTGTCAGGTCTGTCTTCACTGATAGGAGACACTTTGACTGTGCTGAAAGGCATCCATCCCATACTTTTGGTGCTCATTATTTGCACAGTGGTTGCTGCGGCAACAGAGGTCACCAGTAATGTTGCCACGGCAACACTTACTATTCCAATCATTGGAGAGTTGGTAAGAATACAAGCATATACTATAAATGAAACTTGAGAATTGAGGTTGCTAAATTAAATATATCTACTTTTTTGTCCTGTCATATATCAGAAAAAATTCTACTCTCATTGTTCTGGTGATGTTAAAACACTTCCTTACACACTTATAGAACAAACTCTCTGAACAATGATGCATATGGCGATTTTTTCCAGTATCATTATTTTAGGTTGGGTGAAATGTGTTATAAATGATATTATGTTTCATTACATATTGATTGGTATATGTTTCAACTAAAAGGATATACTGTATTATGTAGTAGACATTTTCATTATTTTTCAAGTCATTAGCAATGGGCTACAAATGGAAATAACTGATAAATCAGTGATAATTAATTATCTTTAACACAAGCATATAATCAATTAATATTTTATAGTATCTCTTACATTCTTGTTTTATATCCAGGCCATTGCTATAGGAGTTCACCCCTTGTACCTAATCTTCCCAGCCTCACTGGCTACCTCCTTTGCCTTCATGTTACCTGTGGCCACGCCCCCCAATGCCATTGTGTTTGCCTATGGGCATCTCCAGGTGAAAGACATGGTAAGACCACCTCCTTTGCCTTCATGTTACCTGTGGCCATGCCCCCCAATGCCATTGTGTTTGCCTATGGGCATCTCCAGGTGAAAGACATGGTAAGACCACCTCCTTTGCCTTCATGTTACCTGTGGCCATGCCCCCCAATGCCATTGTGTTTGCCTATGGGCATCTCCAGGTGAAAGACATGGTAAGACCACCTCCTTTGCCTTCATGTTACCTGTGGCCATGCCCCCCAATGCCATTGTGTTTGCCTATGGGCATCTCCAGGTGAAAGACATGGTAAGACCACCTCCTTTGCCTTCATGTTACCTGTGGCCATGCCCCCCAATGCCATTGTGTTTGCCTATGGGCATCTCCAGGTGAAAGACATGGTAAGACCACCTCCTTTGCCTTCATGTTACCTGTGGCCATGCCCCCCAATGCCATTGTGTTTGCCTATGGGCATCTCCAGGTGAAAGACATGGTAAGACCACCTCCTTTGCCTTCATGTTACCTGTGGCCATGCCCCCCAATGCCATTGTGTTTGCCTATGGGCATCTCCAGGTGAAAGACATGGTAAGACCACCTCCTTTGCCTTCATGTTACCTGTGGCCATGCCCCCCAATGCCATTGTGTTTGCCTATGGGCATCTCCAGGTGAAAGACATGGTAAGACCACCTCCTTTGCCTTCATGTTACCTGTGGCCATGCCCCCCAATGCCATTGTGTTTGCCTATGGGCATCTCCAGGTGAAAGACATGGTAAGACCACCTCCTTTGCCTTCATGTTACCTGTGGCCATGCCCCCCAATGCCATTGTGTTTGCCTATGGGCATCTCCAGGTGAAAGACATGGTAAGACCACCTCCTTTGCCTTCATGTTACCTGTGGCCATGCCCCCCAATGCCATTGTGTTTGCCTATGGGCATCTCCAGGTGAAAGACATGGTAAGACCACCTCCTTTGCCTTCATGTTACCTGTGGCCATGCCCCCCAATGCCATTGTGTTTGCCTATGGGCATCTCCAGGTGAAAGACATGGTAAGACTATTATCCACTTTACCAGAGTGTTCAAGGCGAAGAATTTTTTGTGGTTTCACAGAGATGTTATAATGCACCTCTCTTAATTTCTTATTCTCTGAATATTATACATGTTGAATAATAGTGATTTCTATATATTAAAAATTGTTTTTATATGTATATTTTCATATTCTTAAAGAATCATTTACAGAATAAAAAAATACCTTCAGCCAGTTGTAACTATTAGCTATTGATTACTTTGTCATTAAAAACTATAGTATCTTTGTAGACTTAATTCTGAAATTTTAAATTTAAATATGTGGAATTTGTTGTTTCAGGCATTAACTGGCATAGGTATGAATATAATGTGTCTGGGCATTGTGACCCTTGCAGCCAACACGTGGGGAATGGCTTTCTTTAAACTGGATCAGCTACCTCAGCTGAGAAATGACACCACACCAATGCCAATTATCAATACCACTCTATCTCTGAACTGTACTGGCTTATAAGACAATACTGACTGGAGTCATCCAAGACCTCAAACACTACCTGTACCAACGTGTAGATACATTTTACATCAATGGATGTACTAGCTTTTCTCTCATTCAGTAAACAGGAGACATATGTTGTATGTGGTATAAAGGACTTTCTACCACAGCAATGTGTTTCTTCATAGTTAAACATTGTGTGTTAAATACATGCACCAATGAGCAATAAGGAATTTGCTTCCAGAATCTCCAGTGAGATTTTCAAACAAGTTGAGGTCATATTTATCTTGTTCATATTATCAGGGTTCAGGTCATCCACATGTGGGGAATTTACATTATTTCATCTTGTTTAGAAACTGTTAAAATGATGGAAGCTTATTGTAGATAAATACTGGTAGATCATCGAAATAGTAAATGCACAAAGATTATTGATAACATACCACGTGCAGTTTAAACACTTTTTTAAAATGTAGTCAGGGTTTAATTTCTGGTCTCAGGACACAACATAGTATATATTCTTTTTACAGGAAAACATTTAATATGACTTTTTTCAAAGATATTTAGTTATATTGAAAGAAAAGTTTATGTTGTAAAGATTCATAGAATAGCTTTCTTTGTTGCCAATACATACACCTCCTCTGCTGCTTTGCCCACATTTTTGTCTTTATTTTATGAAGTCAATTGCAACACAAGTTAAGGCCCTGTATGGTTCCCAGTAAACCATGGTATTATTTTTTTTTCAAATGATGAGACTTATGTAAAGACTTATAAAATTAAGGAATATGATTTTAATTTTAAAAATGCTTTCCCTTATGCAGTGTTTGTTATCTTTCTTGATTTTTTAGTTTTTGAAAATAATTCTTATTATGTTACTTGAAGGAAGACAAACAACATATTATTATTCATTATTATCCTCATTGTATACATGTATCTATACTACTCTTTGTAGATTAGTGAGCCAGCAAATGTCAAACCATGTACACATGCATTTAGTGCTCAATAAACAATATTATTATTATTATTATTATTATTATTATTATTATTATTATTATTATTATTTCAACATTAAGTTTAAGGCATGCTAGAGGTTATTTACCAAAGTACAGTGTTGACTATATATACTAGTATCTACCATATCTTTATTATAAAGGTTAATGAATCACAAATATGCAATTCTTATCTTTATAAAAGTGTTCATTTCAGTGGAACATTTGCTATAATGTTACCCAGGTATAGTGTTAAATTTGTAAATTCTGTCAAAAATGGATGAGTATAAATTGTACCAGTAGCTGTTTATGTTGATTTCATGAATGTGTTATTGACAAACATTTAGTATTCATGCAGTTACATTGATTATTCTATGAATCCTTACTGGTAATATCTAAAAAAGGCAAGTCAAAAGTATCCAATCTGGGATTTTTCTTCTCAAGAAAAAAGCAACTTTCATCCTTATGAGTAATTGATCGACCTGTCCCTGCAGGTTGCATGTTTTGTTTTGTTTTGTTTTTAATAAAATGATTTATTTCTTAGTGATTCCTGAGTCATTTACCAGTAGAATGCCGTGTTTTCCTGACATTTCAGAGCTAAACATCATTATCAGGTGCCATAACTTGGCGGGTTTTTTTATCATTTTCAAAGTCTGAATTGGAAAATAATAAAATTTTTGGAAGACATTTTAACAAAAATATGATTATAAAGGGACATTTTCAAATGCATACAATATACCTTTTACACAGGTGTATTTAGTTCACTGCCCCCTCTGTCAGGTAGTATTTCACGGATGAGTGCCTTAAGGAAACCATTCATATTAATGTGTATGTAAATAAAGTGTGGAGAGAACACAAGGTTAAGGTTAAGACATTCCACACAAAGTCATGTGTGCCAATGCAACAGCTAGGTAATACCTTTGTAAGACTGTCCCTCATCAGCATGTATTCTAGTGAAGACAAATCAGCCATACCTGAGGACAGTTCGCTTTGACCGTTGTTTTCATGATGGGCCGTTGTAACCAGTGTTGGACTTTCCGTCAGAGCATCATAATGGTGGCCAGTCCTTTCCTTCTCCTTCCTGTGCCCATAGCTGTGTCCATTACGCATCCTGAGGTAGGCTTTAAAGTTAATTTTGATTAACTTAATTAACTTAAAAGTGACCAGAAGTTGTAATACCTGTCAATTACATGTAGAATTGTCTTTTAACAACTTGTACACAAGGACATTTATAAATATAAAATATTTGAAAAGTTTTTTGTGGCTTGTTTACCTGTAACAGTGACCAGTTTAATCCTCATGGATTAACTCCATAAAAGAAAAAAAGCATTTTTACAAGATTAATGTCATGTAATGGCCGCCGAGAGATGTTTATGTCCATTCTTGATTTACAGTAAAAAGATGGTAGAAATAAAATGAATTAAAAGTTATGGTTATAGTGTGGCTGAACATGTACTCGTAGAACAGTTATATTGTAAAAAAACTAATACATGTACAACCCAGATCTTGTTTGTTACTCCAGATCCAGTCAAATTAAATAGCTGTATAGAAAGTTTTTGAAAACCTTTTGAAAATATGCTTTCATACATGTGCTTGTGGTACACTTTATTTTCTTAACACACTCTTATATCTTTGTGTGTATGTGTGTGTTTTGGGCTGACACTGAATATTTCTATTATGACAAGATTCTAGCTGCTGTTATGTTAAGACGCTACCTATGCCTGCAAATGCATAGTCTCACCTGCAGTGTCCCCTCCACTGCCTGAGCTGTCTGTGTACGTGATACTACATTTGTTTTCACAAGACACTTGTTTTGTAAAGTCACATGTGCTGAGTAGTTAGGATATTCTGTAAGCTTGTGTTTTAGATGAGGCAGAGAGTTAATTTTGAAAAAAAAACCCTGTCCCAGTGATTATATGGGCATTTTTTTGGACAAAAACTTCCACACTGGTTTACTAATATACATTTATTCATGATATGATTTGTTCATTGTAATTACATATTTTCAAATCAACTTCAAAGAGTTAGCAATTAACCCATTTTTGTTTTAATTAACCAGTTTGAACTTTGATACAAATGAAAATAGAAATTTTCTGAGCACTTGGATTCATTTTCATTTTGAATATTTTTCATGATTACATATTGAATTATTTCAGTACTTTAATTTGTTATCAGTAGAAGTATAATCCCAGATTATCAACATTTTCTATTATAATGATATATCTAAGAAATGTTTTATTAAATTATTTCATGAATAATATACTTTTATGTAAACAATTCCCTAGCATTCCAAAGCAGGAAAATGCGCCTATTCTATGATGTTAATGGCAGTATATTGGATGACAGAAGTTATTCCGCTGTCAGTAACGGCTCTCCTTCCCGTCATCTTATTGCCTCTGCTGGGGGTCCTCCAGTCAGAAGACATCTGTGCCAACTATTTACAGGTATATACTGTATAATTAATACATTAAGAAAAGATCATTTCTATCTAAATGTTTTATGTAAGAATTTTTTATTGATAAAATTGGCATTTGAGTAAATAATTCAAAGAAAATTCATTTTAATGAGAAAATTTTGCTTAAAACATGATAATTATTATTAATTGTATAACATTTATTGTATATTTGTTCACCAATCGTAGGACACCAGCATGCTCTTTGTTGGAGGTTTAACACTTGCTGTCGCTGTCGAGACGTGGCAGTTGCACAAGAGGATCGCATTACGGGTTCTCATGTTTGTTGGATCTTCACCTAGATGGTATGCAAAATAAGAATTTCAAAGCAATTAATATAATTTTAATTTGAATATTTAGCCAAAGTAATCCATTTGTTTTATGTAGGAATTAAGGTATTTGTTAAGAATAGTATTACAGTTTGAAAGTAAAATTACAGTAATAGAATATTTCAAGTATATTGATAAGTGATTTTAATGTGAAAGTAAAAACTAAAGTAACTATTTAGGTTGATGCTGGGGTTTATGCTTGCTTCTTGGTTCCTGTCCATGTGGATCAGTAACACAGCCACCACTGCCATGATGATACCCATTGTACAGGCAGTTCTAGATCAGTTGTATGAGCATGAGCTTGCAAAGCTACAAGCAGGTAATTAATTTTATTTCATATCAGAACAATTTAAATCATAAATCAATCCATGCACTCATATCAAAACTCACTATAAACTGTAAGACATTTCTATTAGAATCAAAGGAGGCCAGCAATTAGTTCAACCTGTTGTTATAGTTTGTTGCTGTTGATTATTAACTTTGACTCATGTATATTTTAAGGCATAGACAACCCTGCTCTCAGTCTGGACAGCAGTGAACAGCAGCTGTCAGCAGGAACCAGCCGTGACAGCCTCAAACTGGAACTGTGTGTACTTACATCAAATTTTTTTAACTTGAGTGTTTTATTAGCATTAACAAGCCTTTAGAAACCTTTAGAGTTGAAAATTTTTATTAAAGATTAACTACCTTACTATTAAAATCATTTTTTTTTTCATTATGCAACAAAACAAAATTTGACAAATTTTTGCTTAGTTTTATTTTACTGCAGTCTCATGTATATATATCAATTGCAGGAAAGATGTAAACTGTACATCAAGTGAACCTTCCTCTGTTCAGCTTCCTCCAACACGAAGCTCTTCAACACTTCTTAGAGACCATGAGCTTGAGAAACAAAACAAGCGGATGACCAAGTGTATGCTGCTGGCTGTGGCCTATGCATCCAGTGTTGGTGGGATAGCCACCCTCACGGGAACACCCCCAAACTTGGTCATGAAGGGGCTGGTCACTAAGTAGGGGTTCTGTTTTAGCTACAGGGCCAGTAAATATAGGGTCATAGTTCACAGTGGTTAAATGTAATATTGAGAGTAATAAGTATTTTCTATATTATTGAAATTATTCTTGGGCAAATTAAGTTTAAATTACAAAAACAGGGTATTACAGACAATTCAAATGACCTTTTATACATTGTTGTTTATTCAGTTATTCTTCTTGGACATTTCAAACCTTTTTTTTATTTGGTTCTGTTGCAAATTTCTCAGTGAATCTGTTGCTGATTTAGCAGTAGATAAATTTTGGACACCATGTAATTACTATGGTTTTTGTATCTGTCAAGTTATACTTGACTTAACAGCTGTGTTTGTGTCCAAGCAAATGTTTCATTCTGAGGTGTTGGATATTTTTTCCAGATTGTATGCCAAATATGGCGCAGAGGAGTCCTTGACATTGAACTTTGGCACCTGGCTGGTGTACAGTCTCCCCATTGCCATGGTAACACTGGTCCTAGCCTGGGGTTGGCTGCAGATACTGTATTTCAGGTGCAGGTAAGCAGAACAGTTATCTTACACTGGTTTTTATTTCATTATAAAGATCACTTAATTGGCAAATGGCAGTTACAGATGAATGATACTGCACATTATAAACAGAACATAGAAAGGATGTTGCGTGAATCAAATGAACAATATCCCAGCACAAGTTTTCATTTTATAATTTCTTTTGTTCACTTTCAGAATGCCTGCTGGGGGAGATGAAAGTGTCAAAGAAGTGATAAGGAAAGAATATACCAATATGGGACCAATCAGGTACCTGAGGAAAGACAAATTTTATATTAACCAATTTTTTACCCTCCATAAATTAAGTTTAATAATAAATAGACTGGAATAGGTAGATCGCAGAGGAGATGCAGTTTATTATTTTTAAATTTATTTTTGTATTTGAATTACTTGAATTATAACAAATATTTTGTAAAAAAAAAGAACAGAATTATGTCAAAAGCAAATGAAATCAGAATTTTTATTTTTTATTTAAAACTTTCCGAAATGCATATTATTATTTTTAACAAAATTTGTATTTTGCTAACTACTATATCATTATATAAATTTTTTAACTTTCATTAAACTGATAAAAACTAATGTCTGTTAAAGTTGGATAAAGAACAGACAAAACCACAAGTATTCCACTTTTCATATTGTAGTTTTGCAGAGATCTTAGTTTCTATTCACTTTGGTGTGCTGGCCCTACTGTGGATTACACGAGATCCTGGATTCGCACCAGGGTGGGGAAAGTTATTCCCTGACAAGTAAGTCTCGTTTAGATCAGTTAAATGATTCTTTTTCTGTCTTTTTATAGTTTTGTTGTCTTAGTGACACAGCTACATGTAAAATAAGAATATGATACAAAATGCTGGTACAAGCTGCACCTGTATATGGAAAAATGCCTCTCTCTCTCTCCTGTCAGATATGTAACAGATGCCACCCCTGCAATGCTGATTGCCATTTCCTTATTCATGTGGCCAAGCCAGAGACCAAGGTTCCTCTGTTGCAAGGATAGAAATGGTAAGTATATGGTAAAAACTTAAAAATTTTGTCGCTTGAAAATTAATTCACATTTTAAATTGCATAAATCCATAGTGTTGATCACTATGGAAGGTCATTAATTCACTTTTGTGACAGTTGTGAACCACTTCAAATGGAAATTATTATCCAGTGTTATAATGTCCAACTTCTTTTTCAATAATATTCCATGGATATAAATGAATTTAATGAAATATTGTTTGAGTGGTAGGTGTTAAACTGTTGGTCCTTTTAAAATGTTGCAGTTTGAATATCTCATTAATTTAGATTCCAGTGAGATTTCCCCAGTTCCCTCACTTCTGGACTGGGCCACCCTGAACAGGAAGATGCCATGGAGTGTGGTCCTCCTGTTGGGTGGGGGGTTTGCTCTGGCTGATGCTGCCAAGGTAATGTTAGGTGGGGGGTTTGCCCTGGCTGATGCTGCCAAGGTAATGTTAGGT